TCCGGTACGGGGGCAACACTGAGGGTTGCGATCCGTTGCCGGACACGGAAAAAAGCCAAAAGCCAAAAAAAAAAAAAACCAGCTCACCAGAGCCTAACACCTAGTGCAGGATTTAAGACGTATTAATGATGCCGTAGTCCCAATCCAACCTATGTACCCTGCTCTCCAGCATTCCCCCTACCACTTCCCACTTTTCCGTTTTAGATCTCAAAGATGCTTTCTTCTCTGTCTCCCTTCATCCAGACTCTTATTTTCTTTTTGCCTTCACTTGGGAGGACGCTGACACACATACTTCGCAACAACTTACCTGGACTGTTTTGCCACAAGGCTTTATAGAGATAGTCCCAATCTTTTTGGCCAGCCTTTAGCAAAAGATCTTAATCTTTGTCCTCTAAAGTACAGCACCCTCCTCCAATATGTGAATGACCTCCTTCTTTGCAGCCCCTCTTTATCCTCTTCCCAAGAGCATACTGCCACCCTTCTCAATTTCCTTGGGTCTAGGGGTTATCAGGTCACACCTTCCAAGGCTCAATTTTGCACCCCCATAGTTACTTACCTAGGCACATGCCTAAACCCCACTTCCAAGTCCCTTACAGGGGACCATATCCTCCTCCTCCAGGATCTTCAACCTCCCCAGAGTGCTGACGACATCCTCTCCTTCCTGGGCCTTGTGGGTTTCTTCCGACAGTGGATCCCAAACTTTGCCCTCCTAGCATGACCCCTATACAAGGCAGCTAAGGACACCCTGCACAGACCATTAACTGACCCTACCACTTTTAAACACCTTTTCTCTAGGCTATGGGATTGTCTCACTGCAGGACCCACTCTGGCTCTCCTGGATCTTTCAAAGCTCTTTCATCTATTTACAGATGAGCGTTCTGGCTCGGTGACCAGCCTCCTGGCCCAGCCTACAGGACCGGCCTATCAGGCAGTGGCATACCTATCAAAACAGCTAGATGTCACGGTCCAGGGATGGCAGCCGTGTCTCAGAGCGTTAGCAGCTGCTGCCTCCCTGACCAGAGAAGCTCTCAAGCTTACTTTGGGCCAACCCCTCACTGTCTTCTCCTCCCATTGCTTGGGGGACCTGCTCAGCCACAAATCCCTCACCCATTTGACTCCTTCCAGGATCCAACTGGACCACCTCCTTTTCGTCAAAAATCCCCAGATTTCTTTATCCACCTCCCCCTGCTTACACCCGTGACCCTTCTGCCTACTCCCTCCACTACTCTCGACACGTTACATTCCTGCCCTCAACTTTTAGAGGACTTTATTCCCTCACACCCAGGGCTCTCTGACTGGCTCTTATCTAATCCTGACCGTGTGCTTTTTGTAGATGGTAGTTCTCTCATTGTCCTGGATGGCCAAAGGCATGCAGCCTATGCAGTCCTTACTCTAGATACCAGCTTAGAGGCTGTATCCCTTCCCCTCGGAACAACTTCTCAAAAGGCAGAGCTGATAGCCCTCACTCAGGCCCTCCACCTGTCCAAGGGACAACGGGTCACTATATACACAGATTCCAGACAGGCTTTCCTCATCACCCATACTCATTCTGTCCTCTGGCAAGAACGAGGATTCCTCACTACTAAAGGGACCCAAATAATCAATGGGCCCCTCATCTTAAAGCTACCCAAGGCCCTTGGCCTCCCAACTGAGGTGGCTATCATTCACTGCCATGGCCACCAGTCCTCTAAAGACCCTATATCTAAGGGCAACAACAAAGCCAATTCCACAGCACAGGCTATGGCTCTAGGATCCGCCCCAGCTCCTCTCCTTTTTCTCAACACAGCCCATTCCCCCTCATATACCGAAGAAGAAACTCAGACCCTCAAGCGGTTGGGGGGAATTATTGGGGACAAGGGTTGGATTTTTATCCAAGATAAGGTTGCCCTCCCAGGCCACCTAGCCCACAGCATCATTACAAATATCCACCCATCCCTCCACATTGGCCCAAAAGCTTTATATTGGTTCCTAGAACTCCTTTTCCATAACCCATGCCTCCGAAAGCTCATTGAGGAGGTTCATCAGTCTTGCAATACCTGTTCTGCTATCAACTCAAGGGGGTATTCTCAGGGTAGGACCTAGCCATCAACTCTTAGGCCATCAACCGCGGGAGGACTGAGCTTGATTTCACCTACATGCCACATCACAAAACCTATCATTACTTACTAACTTTGGTGGACACCTTTACAGGATGGATTGAGGTTTACCCCACAGTCCGAGAAACAGTAGATGTGGTAGCTGCTGTACTCATTGAACATATCATCCCAAGGTTTGGCCTCCTACAGACCCTACAATCTGACAATGGCCCAGCCTTCACCTCCAGTGTCACCCAGCAGGTCTCCAAAAGTCTGAACATCACCTGGAAACTCCACATCCCTTACCATCCCCAATCCTTGGGTAAGGTTGAGCGAGCCAAGGGCCTCCTCAAGAAGCATCTTACTAAACTTTCCCTTAAGACCTGCTTATCTTGGCCAACCTTCCTCCCCTTGGCACTTACAAGGCTCAGGGCCACTCCTAGGGAACCATCAGGCCTCAGCCCTTTTGAACTCCTCTACGGATGGCCCTTCCTGCTGACCCACAACTTTCCAGCCTCACCTCCTCCCCTTTTATCCTACCTACCCTACCTAATCCTTTTAAGGGCCCTTTTGCGAGCCCATGCTAACTCAGTTACTCCCACCCCCAGGGACCCCACTGTGGATACTCCCCAGGTTTTAACCCCAGGGGATATTGTCTTACTGAAAGAACCACATCCAAAAACCCTACAGTGGTGGACTGGTCCCTACATGGTGGTTCTAACCACCCCCACAGCCTCTGAGGCCCCCTCCCAAGATGTATGGACGGCACAGTCCTTGGGGCCTACCCGGGTTCGGTTATCACGTCACCATTCTCCTCCTGACTCTGTCTCTTAGTCCCACCACTACTGATTCAGGAAACAGATGGAGATTTTAGTTACCAGAAACCTGGACAAAGTGTGTCTATCTGTGCAGAATTCTGCAAGTGTTAAAGCAGAAGCTTACTGAAAAAAAGGGGGTAAAAATGCTTCTTGAAAATCAGACTGCTATGAGAAATGTTATCAGAACTATCAGCATACATTTTTTCCCCGGGGTTTACTGGTCAAACAGGGTTTCATTTATCTCTGCTAGAAGGTTTTAAGGCCAAAGTTGTGAGTGCAGCCTAAACCAGATCATTCTGTATGCAATTCTTAGGCAAATGAGGCTAATTTGGTATTGTTGCTAAAAAGGAAACAAGATTGTAGGAAAAGAGGAGATATGGGAAAGCTATGAAGATGTCATTGTGGTTAGGAAAGTTAAAAAGAAAAAATACTTTTGTGTGGGAAAGCATCTTGTGTAGTGAGTTTTGTCCTAGAACAGAATGGCTGGATTGCTCCAGAATGGAAAGAAGTATGGGGACAAAGAAAAAAAGTTTAAGCACGTCACAGAAGGTCTGAGTAAGTCGTACTAGTGGTTTGTGAAGGGTGAATTTATAAAATAATTTTGCAATTGCCAGGCCTCAGTTAATTTCTCTATCCCCGTTTTTTGCCTTGGACCCCCTCACTGCAGATAGAGGTGGCACCTGCACGTTCCTGACAGAAGAATGCTGTTACTACGTCAATGAAACAACCCCTACGATGCCTCTTACTCAGCAGCAAGTAGCCAGATCTGAGTCGTCGCCCTATAACAACAAAAAAAGGTCAAAATGTTGGGCTGGCAGGATCTGGAGGACTGGAAAGCAGCAACAAAGTGGCGACGGAGCCTCCATCTTGTTAACTCCACCCCTCCACCCTTTACCCTCCCCGGAATTTCCCATTGGCAGGGTAATGCCCCAGGGCCACATCACCCCTCTTAGGTGGGAACTGGAAACTGAACCCTGCTCAATTCCATACCATATATGGGCAAAAAACCACCAACAGCCCTCCCCTATACATACTTGTTTGTATCTACCCTGGGCTCACTCCCTTGCGAGCTGCGGAACCTTGCCCAAGAGCACTTTCATTAAAGCTTGCCTCGAACCCATTGCCGGGCTCCTTTTATTACTTACCACCACTGATTTGAACCGGACATACTTGGTATATCTAACCAAACCAGAATTTGTCATCAATTCAGGGATGAGAATTGACAGGAAACAACAATAGATCTCAATACAACTAATGATTAAATTTAATAGCTCTAAGTCAGACTATGTTTTTTTTGCCTTGGACCCCCTCACTGCAGATAGAGGTGGCACCTGCACGTTCCTGACAGAAGAATGCTGTTACTACGTCAATGAAACAACCCCTACGATGCCTCTTACTCAGCAGCAAGTAGCCAGATCTGAGTCGTCGCCCTATAACAACAAAAAAAGGTCGGAATGTTGGGCTGGCAGGATCCGGAGGAACAGAGAGCGGCAACAACGTAGCGATGGAGCCTCCATCTTGTGAACTCCACCCCTCNACTTGTGAACTCCACCCCTCCCCTCCATCTTGTGAACTCCACCCCTCCCCTCCATCTTGTGAACTCCACCCCTCCCCTCCATCTTGTGAACTCCACCCCTCCCCTCCATCTTGTGAACTCCACCCTTTCCCTCCATCTTGTGAACTCCACCCCTCCCTCCATCTTGTGAACTCCACCCCTCCCCTCCATCTTGGGAACTCCACCCCTCCGCTCCATCTTGGGAACTCCACCCCTCCCTCCATCTTGGGAACTCCACCCCTCCCTCCATCTTGTGAACTCCACCCCTCCCCTCCATCTTGTGAACTCCACCCTTCCCCTCCATCTTGTGAACTCCACCCCTCCGCTCCATCTTGTGAACTCCACCCCCCCTTTCCTCTCCCCCCTCCCTCCCTGGAAGGCAGGAACAATTTCTTACCATATATGGGCAAAAAACCCACCAACAGCCCTCCCCTATAATACCTGCTTGTATCCACCCTTGGTGCGACTTCCCTGGCCTCACTCCCTTGTGAGCTGTGGAACCTCGCCTGAGAGCACTTCCATTAAAGCTTGCCTCAAATCCATTGCCTGGCTCCTTTTATTACTTACCACCGCCGATTTGAACCTGACATAGATCATCCTATTTTCCCCACAATCCACCTCTTCAGCGTCCCTCGCTGTACAATCTACGTGTTAAAAGTCTTCGGCGATGTTCCCTTAGTGAGGATAAAGGACCCATTTATTTATACAACCTATTGTCTGTTCGATATGCCTTAAGGCTAGTCTTGTAGTTGTGTCCTTTAGCCACACATGTCCAGTTAGTAGTCATCATTGGTGTGATTTTCCATGGGAATATTGTAGTCATACTGATGTGAAGTTCAGTGCATATTCAGTAGATGATCACGCCAATGTATGCATGTGCCCAGTTGACGCTGGTGCAGTGCCTGCAGCCAGAACACTATGGGTGAAAAGACAGAAGGGTTATTGGTACCAACAGGGGAAGTTCTCACCCCTCTGGTAAGATACATGCCAGTTTGTCATCCTGAGAAAGGATGGCTGCAGGAATAGGTATCTTAAGTGGTTTGGGGCCCCACAAGGCCGTACAAACAGAAGACCAGTAATTCTCTAACTTTGGCAGTGATCCTATAAGATCCATCTGCCACTGTGTCAGGGGCACTCTCACATGAGTTATCTGCCCATCAGGGGCACTGGTCTGCTCATCAGGAGCACATCTGCCTATCAGGGGCATTTTTTCTCAGGTTTATGTGGCACCAGGCAAGCCATCAACCACCTGGTCCTGCAACCAGCATGCTGCATTCTTCAAATAGCCATCCAGCTACATCAGCTGCTGGAGCTCTCTCTAGCCCTCTTACCTTAGCCAGTGCTTCAGCTTCATCATTGCCAATTCAACATGAAGCTTCCAGCCGATTTGAACCTGACATAGATCATCCTATTTTCCCCACAATCCACCTCTTCAGCGTCCCTCGCTGTACAATCTACGTGTTAAAAGTCTTCGGCGATGTTCCCTTAGTGAGGATAAAGGACCCATTTATTTATACAACCTATTGTCTGTTCGATATGCCTTAAGGCTTGTCATGTAGTTGTGTCCTTTAGCCACACTTGTCCAGTTAGTAGTCATCATTGGTGTGATTTTCCATGGGAATATTGTAGTCATACTGATGTGAAGTTCAGTGCATATTCAGTAGATGATCACGCCAATGTATGCATGTGCCCAGTTGACGCTGGTGCAGTGCCTGCAGCCAGAACACTATGGGTGAAAAGACAGAAGGGTTATTGGTACCAACAGGGGAAGTTCTCACCCCTCTGGTAAGATACATGCCAGTTTGTCATCCTGAGAAAGGATGGCTGCAGGAATAGGTATCTTAAGTGGTTTGGGGCCCCACAAGGCCGTACAAACAGAAGACCAGTAATTCTCTAACTTTGGCAGTGATCCTATAAGATCCATCTGCCACTGTGTCAGGGGCACTCTCACATGAGTTATCTGCCCATCAGGGGCACTGGTCTGCTCATCAGGAGCACATCTGCCTATCAGGGGCATTTTTTCTCAGGTTTATGTGGCACCAGGCAAGCCATCAACCACCTGGTCCTGCAACCAGCATGCTGCATTCTTCAAATAGCCATCCAGCTACATCAGCTGCTGGAGCTCTCTCTAGCCCTCTTACCTTAGCCAGTGCTTCAGCTTCATCATTGCCAATTCAACATGAAGCTTCCAGTCCTCGCCTGTTCCCCAAAGACGAGCACCTTGGCCTACTCCCTAATCGAAATGGAACATTTAATCTGCCTCCTCAGGAGCAATCAAAAAGTCCTTTAAATCTATTGAACGTACCTTGCTACCTGTTTCTAGATGTTTAGTAAAATGCTGTTCAGGGCGCAATTGTTGCCACAAGGCAAAAAGGACTGCATTTGGCTGCTGGTCAGTTTTCTTCCTATCAACCCCTGCTGCAAGCAAGTCAAGCCACATCTTCTTATGGCTACTCTATTTTCTTGGGGGTTTGGTCTTAGCCACCTTTTGGACCCCTTTTGCTTGTCTTCTATCCTCTATTTCACCCAAGCTGGCTATCATGGTTGTTTTCTCATGTATAGGACAACCAATGTATGGGGCCAGTATGGCTATCAGTGACCCAAAGGACGTTGATTGGGCATTTTGCAGCACTATGTCTCTCATGCTGCCTGTAAAATTTTCATTGTCCAGGCCACGAGTGTTCACATTAAACATGGGCAGCCGCATCCCCAGCTCCCGAATTATTTGAACTAAGTCAGTATACATTTGCCATTTACTAACGATCTTGGGCAGTTCTCCAGCATTTGCCCACATGGTTCAGGCAGCTGCATTCACCCATTCCATTAACGAGTGATTACCTCGCCCTGGTGCATACCTGCGGCTATTCTGCAGCTGCTGCCTCAGGGACGGGTGCATGGTGACGGAGGCCAATTTTTCCATCTCCTCACCAGAGCATACCACATTGTCCACCCCTAGGTCCCATAACTGCAACAGCCAAGCAGCCAGGGGCTCCCCCTGTTTCTGCCAGAACTGTCCTCCCAAGTCAACTAACTTAACCTGGGTATCTGGGATATAGGTGGTAAATTGGGTCACCTGTGGATTGCCCACTGGTTGCCTGCCCGGTCCCATATGCTGCTCGTGTTTCATTTTCTGGTGCATGACAGGTCGTGCCTGGGGACGCACGGTCTCCCCCAACTCACCACTGGGTTCGTCATCCTCCCTGGTGTGAGAAGCTGCAGTGGCCAGTCACTGCATGTTATCCTCCAAGACGTTTATCTGCGATTCTAACAAGTCTGCTTTCTGCTTCGAATCTGCCAGTAGCTGCACGTCATCTGCCAACAACTCTGCTTTCCGCTTCAAATTCTGATCAGTTTGCAGCACAGAGCAAAAGCCAGGCTCCGGTCAGCAGAAAAATGGCCACTGGGCCCCCACACGCTCAAGGACAGCCACATTTCCTCCCCCTCCCAAGGGGTTTTCCACTATAGTACCTGGTCAATGCTGACTTGCAGTGCAGTGAGCAGCAACCAGATCCCGGTCAACAGGAAGGTGGCCATAGGGCAGAGCATATTCAAAAGGAGCCACATTTCCTCCTTCTCCAAGGGCTTCTTGGCTCCTGTACCTGCTCAGAATCCTGTCACAGACTACCAATTGTGGCATAATCCTGCCAACTATGCCAATTGTAGAGCTAGGGCTAGGGTCTGGAGCTCACAGACCCCTCTAGCCCATTCACAAACCCTTCACATGCAGGTCTATGAGCTAGGTAACCAGACAAAAAGGTCCTTGGAGCCTTGGCTGAAGAAGGAAGAGTCTCTATTCAGCACACACAACACTATGAGCTAGGCAGTACAAAGGAGAAACTCAGAAACTCAACTGCTACCTGAAAAGTCCAAAGGAAAACTGAAACTGAGCAGCTGCCAGCAGAGTAAACATGCTCTATTGTTAGACAGGAGCTCTCTGCTGACAGCCTGTTTCACAAAATGCAGAACACACAAAAGCAATTCACTAGAAATATACATGGGTGCACATGTGCACTTATTCCACCCACACAACTTGTTTACAAGAAATGTCGAGGGAGCCTGACTAAATTATCCTATTTTCCAGCAGAGTAAACATGCTCTATTGTTAGACAGGAGCTCTCTGCCGCCATCCTGTTTCACAAAATGCAGAACACACAAAAGCAATTCACTAGAAATATACATGGGTGCACATGTTCACTTATTCCACCCATACAACTTGTTTACAAGAAATGTCCAGGGAG